ATGGCTCTGCAGCCTCTGCCTTGGGGATGACACAGCAGCCTCACTGGTGCTCCCTTCTTCTGGAGCTGTCACTGCCCCCAGCTCCCTGGGAGCCTGGCACCATTATGGGTTTGCCCTCTGGCCCATAGGGAAGCTGTGAGGGCTCTGGTTTCCCTTCCATCCCCAGATCCTACAGCTTTCCCTTATGGAAAGCCCACCACCTCCTTCCCACGGTGGAACACCTAACCCAAGACCTGAGCAGAGGGTGTCTTTGGGCTGTGTGGGGGAGGGCACTCTGCTGAGCCAGAACATAAATCCCGGGTCTTCACAGCAGCAGCATTTTTGGCAGCACTGCCAAGCTATCACAGACTATATTACATCTTTATCAGCCTCCCGATGCTCATTCCAGAGCTCATACCTTGATGCAGTGCCTGCCTGTGCTGACAGATGACTTTGTCTTAAATTGTTTTTTCCCTCCAGGTGTCCTAGTTTATTTTTTTTTTAATGTGTGCAAATTTTAGGTGGTTCAATTAAGTTGAAAGAATAAATCCTGCTCATTAGCAATAAAAAAGCCAAGCAGCTTGGTCTTGTAGAATAAACTTTGATAAGTGACACAGCTGATGTGATCTTTCATCAACACATCAACATGTTCATTTACTAATAGTCTGGAAGAGTTAAAGCCCTAAAATATTCACACAGTGAAGCTGGATGTAAATACTTCAATTTCTAAACATTTCTTCCATTTTTTTTCCCTGTTGCTCCAAGTATTCCTTGCAAAGTAAACAGCTCCATGGAGCAGAGCACTGCAGATTGAGCCTTTCTTCCATTTTAATCTACGTTTTGCTTATTGGTTTTGCTTTCCCTTCTCCCTCTGCCAGCTGTGCTTGGTGGGATGGTGATCTCCCATGGGACCTTAGGACAGGCATTGCTCCTGCTGTGTTGGGCTGGCTGTAATACCTTGGTTTCAAAGCAGTGGGAAGAGCAACAGAAGGATGTGTTCATGAAACGAAAAGCCCAGAAATAATCAGCATCCAGGAAGAGAAGAGCCATATAAAGCCTTGTCTCAGCTCCAAATGAAGTGTCAAGACTTGTAGGGAGAGGCACAGAAAGCCAGTACAGGAATGCAGGAACATAGTATGAGGATCAATAATATTTTTAGGTCTATGTGGGTCTCTGGATGCCTTCTCATCCATAGGCTTTCCTCATGCATGAGACATGATTATGTTTGTCCTCTATTCTGCACCCAGATTATGATAGAAAACAGAATTTCAGCTCAGCTGCTTCTATTTTAAATCAACATCTTATTAACCTGGTGAAGGGATTATAAACTCCACAAACCTTTAATAATTCTTGGACTTATTAGGGGAGTGCTATTGTGAATTTAATAAAATTCGTGAGAAAACCTTCATTAAGGAGCCTCTAGTGTGGCATGTTCTCATCCAGGAGCTTTGAGAAGGCAGAACCAAATGTTTAAATTTGAAAACATAATATTTTTTTTTCAAGTTTATTATTACCACCAGGGTTTTGAATTGCTTACTTCTGGCAGTTAAATATCTGTAGTAGCCATTTGAGAGTATAGCAAAAACATACATTTAGAGAAAACCTATTGGAAATCTTGACAAAAGTTCTTTGCTCTAGAGAAAATAGTGTTTATATTCATCCAAAGCACTGGTAAATGGGTTAAGTATGCCACAGACAGCAAACTGCATGCATTGCCTGTATAAATCCTATGAAATGGGTTAATGCCCATATTGTGGGCATCCTGTGGGCTCGCTGTGACTTAGCCTGTGCTCCAGGAGCTTTGCCTAAAAGCTTCAAAGCACAGCTGATGGGGGAGATGCTTGCTGCGGTGCTTGAAGTGGATAATTCTCAGTTCCCACCTGAGATCCGTGCTCTGCCCCCTCGGTGGGGAGCAGGGGGTGATGGAGCGGAAGGAGCATCCCTGGCCAGGCTGAGCGCTGCTCCGAGCCCCTGGGACACTCCTGGGCCACGTGCAGCACAGCAAGCCAACTGCTGCCGAGGGCCTGGCAGGACAGGGCACTTCTCCATCCATATTTCATTAGCTCCTCTCTCGCTGACCTCCAGAGCTGCTGCCTGGGCAGAGCCTGAGTGGCTTTGCTGCTGGGAGGGGATGGAGCTGCTGGCAGAGCAGCCGTGGGCTGGATGGCTCTGCAGCCTCTGCCTTGGGGATGACACAGCAGCCTCACTGGTGCTCCCTTCCTCTGGAGCTGTCACTGCCCCCAGCTCCCTGGGAGCCTGGCACCATTATGGGTTTGCCCTCTGGCCCATAGGGAAGCTGTGAGGGCTCTGGTTTCCCTTCCATCCCCAGATCCTACAGCTTTCCCTTATGGAAAGCCCACCACCTCCTTCCCACGGTGGAACACCTAACCCAAGACCTGAGCAGAGGGTGTCTTTGGGCTGTGTGGGGGAGGGCACTCTGCTGAGCCAGAACATAAATCCCGGGTCTTCACAGCAGCAGCATTTTTGGCAGCACTGCCAAGCTATCACAGACTATATTACATCTTTATCAGCCTCCCGATGCTCATTCCAGAGCTCATACCTTGATGCAGTGCCTGCCTGTGCTGACAGATGACTTTGTCTTAAATTGTTTTTTCCCTCCAGGTGTCCTAGTTTATTTATTTTTTTTTTAATGTGTGCAAATTTTAGGTGGTTCAATTAAGTTGAAAGAATAAATCCTGCTCATTAGCAATAAAAAAGCCAAGCAGCTTGGTCTTGTAGAATAAACTTTGATAAGTGACACAGCTGATGTGATCTTTCATCAACACATCAACATGTTCATTTACTAATAGTCTGGAAGAGTTAAAGCCCTAAAATATTCACACAGTGAAGCTGGATGTAAATACTTCAATTTCTAAACATTTCTTCCATTTTTTTTTCCCTGTTGCTCCAAGTATTCCTTGCAAAGTAAACAGCTCCATGGAGCAGAGCACTGCAGATTGAGCCTTTCTTCCATTTTAATCTACATTTTGCTTATTGGTTTTGCCTTCCCCTTCTCCCTCTGCCAGCTGTGCTTAGTGGGATGGTGATCTCCCATGGGACCTTAGGACAGGCATTGCTCCTGCTGTGTTGGGCTGGCTGTAATACCTTGGTTTCAAAGCAGTGGGAAGAGCAACAGAAGGATGTGTTGAGGAAACGAAAAGCCCATAAATAATCAGCATCCAGGAAGAGAAGAGCCTCATCTGGAAGTGCCCATGGGGAGTGAGGATTTGGGGTGTCCAAGCCATGAAAAGAGGAATATTTCATACAGTGGGCAGGGCACACTGAGCACAGGTGAGGGATGTGTGCTAAAGCCACGCAGCTTGCTGGGGTCCTGCTGGGATTTATTCCTTCTTCCCATGGACAAGCCATGACTGGCTGGCCTTTCAAAACCCAAATTTAACATCAATGAAATCTGTAAGTGTGGAGAGAGGTTGGATTTTCCCTCCAAAACCTTCTAATTGCTCTAAAAAAAATGGAGGTCAGCACAGGAGGAGTTTTGATGTGGCCACAAGCTGAAATCCTTGCAGGCAGTTTCTGTCACTCCCAACACTTTGGTTTGGCTCAGGCAGAGGGGTTTTACCTCTGCTGAAGTACCATAAAGTCCTGCTTTGACTCTGCCCCAGGCTGCATAGCCTCACAAGGACTTTGGACAAAAGAATGATTAATGTTCCTTAATTAAGCCATATTCAGTGAAATAGTATATTCTGCAATTCAATTTGTCTCTTGGGGTTCTTGTTTTGTGCAGCAATTTCTCTTCTGATATTTTTTTTTATTTAATGGTTTTGTGACCCAGAAAATATGAGATTCTATTTTATGGCTGACTCTGATCTGTCTTGCTGGTGCTTTTATTCACTCCTCAGGGAAATTTCTTTGTACAACTAAAATCTCTGTTCTTGCTCAAATTAATAGGGTCAGGCCTGAAGAGATGATGAGAATATTTTACCTTTCCTGCCCATGTTAATTTTTTGGTAATTTATGGCCAACCTGTGCTAGTGGCCATTTTTGGCAGGCACCTGTAAGTCTCCAGCCTTTGCACAGGCCTTTTGCTATTAATTGCATTTTGTTGGCAAGATCAATAGAGCAAAACAGCACAGCCCCAGAGAAGGAGGTGAAGGATGTAATTTAGGGATGCAGAAGTCATGCAAAACACAAGCAGGATGGCAGGGGTGACAAAGTAGAAGTTTTGCAAAACAAAGATATTGGGCTTACTCAAAAGGGGGGTTTGAGGAACAGCCACCTACAAAGGACACCAGATGTTGAAGATGGACCCCATAAGAAGATTTTTAAGAGGTGTGACTAGAAGTAATACATATGCTTCAAGCAAGTGGGGTTAGCTAATGAATGTGTAATCAGTGTGTGTGGTTAAAAACTCAATTAGAGCAAGGGCCCTTCAAGTGACCAGCTGATTTTGCTATCAGTGTTAGGGGAAAATTCCTCAGATGGGACTGGTGAAAAAATTGCAGTTGTGTCTGCTCTCTTTCTCCCTGGCAATTCTACAGTACTACACATTATGGCAATTTTTTTTCTTCTGAAATGGCTATTTGATTCCTCTCTGTGGGCTCTTCCTCCACTCTGTAGTTTTAAGTCTAAATATAATCTCCTTCCCACGCAGGAGACTTGCTTTAAAAAAATGTTGTAAATAATTTTTTTTTTTTCAGAAGTGCAGAGCTGTGAAACTTGGTTTAAAAGATTTTATTGACTCCAGAGAAATTGTCTGGACTGCACAGCTGTTGGGATTTTTTTTTAGTGTGTGTTTTTCTGGTGTTGGATTCATGGTTTCAGCTTTCCTAAGTGAGGGAGGTGCTGGAAGTGCTAAAAGCATTTCCACCAGTAGTTCCAGGGGGGAGATGAGCTGAGCCTTGGGCAGGGTGAGCTCAGTGAAGCCCCTGGGCTGGGTCTTGAGGGGCTGGAGCACCTGAACCTGCCCTGAGTGTGGGGCTGAGCGTGGTCCTGGTGCAAAGGGCTTCACCCCCATGCTGGACAGCCTAGTAAACACATTTCTCTCTCTCTTTCAATTCTAGATTTTCAGAAGAGCTGACAAAAATGGTAAGTCTGTGCATTCATACTTCACATTTCTTGATTAGACTATTGTCAGTATTACTATTTTTCCTGATAGTAACATTCAAGTGTTTAAATGTTGTTCTGTTTACTGGGTCTGATGCTGATACACTTGAAGCATCAGAAAAGGATTTGTTGGTTTTTTTGGAAAATATATTCTTAGAGCAGAAGTGATCCTGGTATGTAAGTTGGCATGGCACAATCCATCAGATTAAGAGCAATTTCACAAAAACAAGATAAAAATAAATCACAGGTAAGTGATAAATGAGGATCCACCCCTTGGTAAGCTTGAAGTAGCTTAGCAAAACAAACCTAGTTTGTGAATATTAATTGTTTAGTTCCTGAGGGACTGGACCAATATGTCAAAGAGAAGCACACATTGATGTGTGTTTTCAGTCTGTGCCTGGGGAAAGCTGAACACCTGCACTGAGCCCAGCCAAGTCCTTACATTTGGAATAACTTGGATGAGTCTTCATTAAATGGCATGGAAAGAGAGAACTGGAAAGATAGCAAGCTAAAGGAAAGAAGAGTCAGTGAGCCCAACCCCAGGATCTTTCCATACCCTGAAAAGCAGTTTTATCTTCGATAAAATCCCAAGAGCTAGTATCTATTCTTTCCCTGTTGTACAAGAAGAAAGTTAAATGTGCATCAAAACTCTGTGTGTTTGCAGAGGGACATGTGGGAGGGTTGTGCAGAGGAGCACAGGGCAGAGTTTGGTTGTTCTCCTCCAGCTTTAAAAGGGAAATACCTGATTTCTGCTGGTGCTCATTGGTGGGTATCCTGGGTAAGGAGGGTGCTGTCAGCTGGCTCTAAATAAGGAGTAAATGCCATGTAACTGTGGGCACTTGGTTATGGCAACTGGCGGAGTAATGAGATACTGAAGTTTGGTACTTAGAAAAGCTGAGCAATTGTGTGATGCACGGAGAGTGGAGAGGAAAAACTTTTATGTTTTTATTTAGTTTATGCTCTTGGCACCAGACTGGCTGACTTCAGAGATGAGATGATGCAGGTATTTGAATTTCCAGGGGTGAGAGCAGGGGCTGCACTTGCAGAGGATGAGATCAATGCCACTGAGCACAGGCAGAGAATGAAATTTGTCCTGCCTCTCCTGACCCTCAATGGCACTGCAGGGAGGACAGCTGGCTCTCTTAAGGAAGGCCAGGTGCTCTTTGCTGAGGGAGCTTTCTGCATCTCTGCTGCCACTCTCACTGCTTGCAGTGCAGGGGACCTGCAGCTCCAGTGTTTGGGAGCACAGTGGGTGCTCTCCATGGGACCTGCAGCTCCAGTGTTTGGGAGCACAGTGGGTGCTCTCCCTGGGACCTGCAGCTCCAGAGTTTGGGAGCACAGTGGGTGCTCTCCCTGGGACCTGCAGCTCCAGTGTTTGCAGCACAGTGGGTGCTCTCCCTGGGACCTGCAGCTCCAGAGTTTGGCAGCACAGTGGGTGCTTTCCATGGGAATAACGCTGCCCTTCACTCTTTATAGACCTGGGGCACAGGCTGGCACAGAGCAGCTGGAGCTGTGACACCTCTGTCCCCAGGCTGGCTCCTGCAAGGTGGCACCCTGGAGCACGGGCCAGTCTGGGCATCCCTGCTCTCAGTCCATGGAGCAGGGACTGTGACCCCGGAGCTGTCCTCTGCAGGACTCTACATCCCCCAGGGGTTCTCCTCACATTTATTCAGATGCTGCTTTTTCCTTGGCACAGCCCTTGCTAGCCATGCTGACCAGTTTCACCAGCCATTCGTATCTGATGAGCTCTGGGTAACAGAGTTTGCCACTCATTATAATCAGCTCAGTGTGTTCCTCTGCAGCCTTTTGGGATCACAGCTCCCCACAGCCCCTCTCCAGCCTCCTGCAGCTCACAGCAGCTGCTGCAGGAGATGTGCAAGAATATTTCCATTGGTACAGCCTCTCTGAAAACTAGGGCTCAGAGGTTTCCAGAGCCAGAGGTAATATCTTTGTATTTCATATCCCTGGGGATCTCTTTGTCACAATTTCTCTGTGACATTCTGGACTTTAATTTATTGATTTGTTGAAATTCAGCCTATTCATGGCTCTCCCTGTTACAGCTCCAAGGAACAGTGGAAGCGCCAGCCTGCTGCTTTTATGTCTCACAGCAGGTGCTGTGCACAGCCCTCTGAGGAAGATGAAAATCTCACACTTTCCATTTTTGTCAGAATCCCAGGATGGGGCCCTGAGCCCTGGACAGACTGTTAAAAATACAAGTCCACAGATTACCAAAATATTTCATTCTGTTCACATGCTGCTGTGGTTTCCACAGCTGCAGAGTTCCTGGCAGGGGCTTTGCTCTTCCAGTGAACCAGCTGAGATGGGTCATTACCTGTCCAGTGCTGTGTGCTGGGGCCGTACTGGGGAGAGCTCCCGTGGCAGGGAGTGCTGGCAGCTTCACCCAGAGCTGGCAAGCCTTGCTTTCCTCAGCCAAAGCCACTCTCACCGACCTGTGTAGGAACCCCATGGAAATAGGGCAGGGAAAAATCTGAACAAAACTTTGGTTCTTGACATCTGTTTAACTACAACATCTCATTTAACTTTTTCCATGCAGAGATCAGAGTGTTAGAGGCTTACCTAAAAGGCAAAGGAAGGGATTGTAAGATTAAGAAGTAGTCTCATTTATTGTGCAGTCAAGAGGTCATAAATTTGGAAATCTTTTCAGGATCTTGATTTTTTTTCCCCCCAGCCTGGTAAAAATGGTACATATTGTGTTAAAACAGAGAGGCTGGTGCAGGCACGGTAACTATGGAGCCTGATAGCTTGAATTTAAGAGCATCTTCCTCCTCCCCCTTTCTTCCAAACCTTCTCACATAAATTGTTAATTCGTGTAAAATTGGATGTTCTTGCTGCAAGATGCTAAACCATGTTATTTCCCCTGCCATGTTCAGGTGCTTGTATTTAGGTGATTTGATTCAATGCCTACATGTACTAAAGGGCTGCTAATGAGGCAGCTCCTGCTTGTTAAAAAACATCTTGGTCTCCTGCTCCAGAGAAGTGAGTCTGTCAATAATGTGAGCTAAGTTCCCCAGTGACAATATCAAGTAGTTTTGTAACTATCTTCATGATAAACTCAGAAAATGGTCTGCATAAGACAGCTGGAAATGCTGAGCACTTTGGAGATAACTGGATAAACTGACAAATGGTCTGGAAAAGGGAGAAGGACTGGAGTGTAACCTGAGAGTGGATAACTCTGTTAGATCTAGTCATGCTTTGCAGGGGCATGGCTGTTAGTCATTCAAAATAATCTTTTTCTTTTGTGTAGGAGTGTTTTTTCCTTTCTCTGCTAATAAATCCACCTACTGTCTTGTAATCCTCCCAGTCCCAGTAAACAATACTTAATCATTTAATTGGAAAGTGCTGGGGAAAAGGAGACATCTTCTTTTAGGCTGGTGCAGTAGAGCTGTCAATCATCTCAGTTATCTACTGTGTACTTAATCCTCTCATTAGAAAGCTGCTAATCAATTAAATAGCCCAGGATTCTCTTTGAAAGATTAAAAGAGTTTTATTTTAGCAGAACTGCCAAACTGCTAACAATTCATTATAGATAAGCATCTTCCCAAAAACTGATGTTTTATCTGGAAATCTCCAACTCACTGCAACTACCCAGCCCCCATGCCTTGAGTGTAACTAAATGCAAAGTGCAGCCAGTTTTAATCTCTGCTTTAGTTTGGCGTGTTTTGCTGTAATTATTACATCCTGCTCATGGCAATGGCCATCAGTCTGACCCATCCACAGGTCTGACTTCCCAGGCAATGAGCTTTAGGTGGTCTGCCCTGGACCTCTGCCCTGGAAGAGGAGAATGCAGAAGGAAATGTGCCCAAACCTTGGCATATGGTTATAAAACACCTACAGAAAGTGGCAGGAGGAGCTGGCAGTGCTGCAGTATTTCACCTGATAGTGACCAGAGTTAGTATTGTGGTTCAGTCAACTTGGCATCTTCCTCTTGCTGCTGTCCTGTGATTTCTGTACCCAAGAAATCTTGTGATTTCAAGCCCAAACTGTTCTGGTTCTCCCTTCAAATTATATCCAGAGAAGGATGGGAGTGCAGCCACTCAGTGCACGCTGTCCTGAATAGCTTCTGTTATCAGAAATTAAATACAATGAAGAGTGAAGAAATCCAGAGTACAAATGCTGAGAGGATTTGTACTGAGGAGTTTTCAGTTGATCTGAATGATCAGCTGAAGGCCTGCAGAGGACGTAGCAGAACTAATAAAGGGGGGAAAAAGAAAGCATGAATGAAGCAGGAATTGGTATTTGGAAAGGGCTTTTTTGGTTAAGAGCCATGAGGGCAATGGCATTGTGCCCATTCCTATCCCAGTAGGGCTTGTCCTTTAAATAGCTGCTCAGAGATTTCTGTTAGTCACTTAAGAGCTCATTAAATGAGATTTATGCTGCTATTCTGTGTAAGGAAAGGTCTGCACATCCCAGTGCTACAAGTCTCATAGCAAATTGCACTTATTACAAATTACAAACCATGGGGGCACATAGAGAGCTCCTGACAAGAGAGGAACATAAACAGCTTTGCACATCAGCATCACCAAACTGGCCAAGGAGCCTGGCCAGCTGTGAGTGCCCTTGTGAGGAGAGGGAGCTCTGCTGCCTACACAAAACTGGCACTGCTGCTCTGCCTGGTGGCTTTGTGGCCATGATGCCACTGCTGACCTGAGGTATGGGGACCTCACAGGCTCCAAAAGCTGGAAAAAGGCAGAAAAACAAAACCAAACAAATGAAAAGCCCCAGGCACATCTCCCAGCCCCAGCTTGAGATGTTCAAAACTCAAGTTCTTCATAATGTTCTAAGTGTCACCTGAGTAGAAATCAGCCTTGTTATCAGCAGTACACAAAGGAAGAGAGTGAGGTTTCCCTGATGGTATTTCTTGATGAAGGGATGGTGATGGGAGAGCAGGGAGAGTCCTGGACCTTCAGCAAAGGGGAGAAGGCTGAATGAATCCTGGTGCAGGGATTCTCCAGAGGAACACA